GACTTGTTCCGTTGGAGAATAACAAGATCCGCCTGAACGGCACAGTGGTGGAATGGTCCTTACCTCATTCCACCAGTAAGCTGGACGCCATCTGCTATTTGGCTCCAGTTTCCTCACCATGGTCGTGTCACATGCTCTCACTAACGTTTCTGTCAACTCGTCTTCCACTTTCGGTCACCAGGATTCCGTTGGCCGATGCCATATCGGATTGCCTGATGGTCGCTATGGGTATATCCTTCGCACACTCTCCAATTAATGTTTGCTACAACCATCTCTGCGAAGAGTGCTGCTGGTGCTTTCGTTGGATAGCCTCACAACTTCCAGCTTTGCTAGAGCTACCAGCAGACTGTGTTCATTTGCGTTGGTACATCTGCTACCACAATCCACTGCCCAAGCATTATTTTTTGGCGATCACGAAATCATCTTCTTGAATGGGGTATCTGCCCATAACTTGTACCGTATGCGTGATAATGTTTGCACCATCGTACAAATAAGGTTCCCGTTTCACCTGTGCATGATGATGCCTTGGTTTTCTTTGTATGCACATAACCTATAGCTCATACCGTAGTAGGCTGTGTATAAAAGAAAATGATTTACTTAGTTTGACAGTTGCAACATGACGAAGTGGCAGCGTATTCGTGATTTGTCCCACGCGCAAATGTCGCAAAAAGACATTTCAATCGCCGAGGGAGTGTCCCGGGGGACCGGCAAAAGGGTTTTAGACCGAGAAAAGAAACGACAACTATCCGCGAAGGTGGCCACAGGTCGTCCGACGTCAGCTCGGGTTCCGAGGGTTATCGGACTATCTTAAGGCTATCAAAAGGAATATTCGGGTGAATCCAGTGCGTTCAATAAGGAAAATGGCAAAGGAACACGGGATCACTGATTTTACGGCACGGAAAATCGTAAAGGAAGATTGTGGTGCAAAGTCGAGGGCACAGAAAAAAAACTCTCATGACTACCAACCGCATCCGGGAGCTACGAGTCGAACGATGCAAGAAAATTTTGAACTTCCTTAAGCGAAAAAATCCGGTAATCCTGTTCACCGACGAGTGCATGTTTACCGTCGATCCCGTATCAAATTCCAGAATCGACCGGTATATTAGTTCTCTTCCGGTAAAATACGTGGCCGACGAGCACAAGAACGTGTATCTGAGCTAGCGTTATGATGTTTGGATTGGTGGCTTCCGATGGCAAACAAAAGGACCCGGTGTTCATTTCAGAAGGCGACAAGGTCAACACGGAGGTCTACATCGGGATTTTAAGTAAGTATGTTCTTCCGTGGATCAAAGAACAGTACGGTCCAAATGTTGTATTTCAACAAGATGGGGCTCCGTGCCACACCTCGAACTGCACTCAGTGGTTGCAGGAACATCTTCCGTTCTGGGCGAAGGATATGTGGCCGCCATCCAGCCCCGATCATAATCCGCTGGATTACTCAATATGGTGCGTCATGAAGGCCAAGGCCTGTTCTAAACGCCACCCGAGTACAGCAAGCCTCAGACAAACATTGACCCGTACCTGGAGAGAAATGGATCCAGACTACATTGTTAGAAACTGTCGTGCATTCCGGAAGCGCGTGGAGGCTGTAACTGCAGCAAATGGAAACTTGATCGATGATTAACATTGTTTAAGACTCTGAGAAACACCCTTTGAATAAATAAAAAACTCGAAAACGAAATTTTTGAGATTTTTTTTAATTTTGACATTGCTCAATGGAATTGGCTCAAATGTCAATCAATCAATCACTTGCATGTATTTGTTTTCCATTTTGGTGGTATTGATGTTATCGAGAATATCACAAATCATGAAAAACTAATACAGCTACATCTTACTTTTTTTTATGAGATTTGATAGATGGGTAGTATTGAATTCATGCTGATTATTGGGAAATATTATTTCGATATTTAAATTCTACTTTATAGGCAAGATTTTCAATTCTTCAATCACTCACACCATTAGAGAATCTTACACGACTTAAACCTTACCGCACAACACTTTGTATTTTGTGATTTTTCTTCTAGAACTTCGATTTAGTATATTTTCTTAAAATCTCAGGTAGGAGGTCGTCCCAAAAGTACTCGAATGATGCAACCCATCATGCCAATTTATTTATGGTAATAGTAAGAATACAATAAAATACCCAAGTACCAATGACCCCAATGAAAAAAAATGTCACTGAATCTGGATATTCAATCTATATGGTTTGTGTACATTTTTATTTTTTGATGTTCTGTTTGCCAATGCACTAACTTTTATTTACAACCTCATTTTCTATTATTTTTAAAGGAACATATTTTCGAAGAAATCTATTACTTTATCTTTAACTCTCTCCTGGAAGTAGGCTGCCTCAAACGATACCTCCTTAACAACGTGGTCATTTATATTGTTACTGTTGACAAAGCATACTACAGCATTCGTTGCGGCTGATGCATGTAGCGATATCTGTACTTCACAGGTTCTATTCTTTTGTCACAGAGTGAAAACCAAGATCGGACAAAAGTATATAACCTTGCCAATTTTTTCAGACGGCGAAAAAAAATCAAACTGTTTAAGCTTTTGTTGTACTAAACGGGTACGGGTTTTGGTAAAACTTGAAGCATATTAAAGAACTGTGTCAGGAATGTTAATGAGCAAAATTTCAGCATATTTGGAGCACTTGATGAAATTCAATTTATAAATGAGGGGATTAGAAGGAAAGGGGTGTAAGTGACTTTGATCGATTCTCTTCATCGACATTCTCTTTTGATAGCCACAGTTTTATAAACAGATTTTGCGCTATTTCTGCCACATTGTTTGATAAAAGAGGTTATCATGTAGCATCCAGAATGGCACACGAATCAAGGAATGTGTTTGCAGCTGAATTTTTAACTGTATCACCAGCTAATGATTTTCTTAATTGCTTCTCGTTTATGTGCAGCTATTTGTGCTTTCGTTTTCTGCGACATCGTTCGAATATTAACTAGGTATATTATACGGAAGTCACGCATAGCTACACTGTGTTGTTTGTTTGTAAACATCAGCATAATCATATGGTCTAACATATGATATTTTGGTTAGTCGTGTTGCCGGTTTACCCAAAAAAGAAAATATGTAATTTTATTAAAACAAAATTTCCATAGAAAAGTGTCATCTAGGGCGATTATTTTATCTTTTCAACAAATAAAATATTTCTGAATAGAAAATAATTGAGTTGCTATGCACAAAGATGCTTCTATCAATCATCGAATTTATTTTACTGAATCTTATGTAATAGTTTCATGAAACTGTTTTGGCAACATTGGCCAATGATTGCTGCTAGGATAAAACATGGGATGCGTAGCTTAACGCATACATTCTTACTGTGCGCATGTGTCAGTCTTGTTGTGATCTTTCGTTGTTTACCGGCAAATCGTGAATAAAAATTCAGTTTTTCAGCTAATTTTCATTATAAGTCGGGCTTAACTTATTAGATTGTAAAAGTAAATATATGAGCAGATGTAGTGAAGACTATTCAAATACTGCATCCCTTCTGGAAGTGAGTAAAATAAGCGATGTTCAATTTGGGACTGGGATTTTTTTTTATTGTGATGATTTTTTGTGTGTCGTAGTGCTAAGCCAAAAAAAAAATCGATGTTATTGAAAAGCAGATATCTACCCAACAAAATGAGATATTGCTTGAATAAAAGGTGAGTGCATAAAGATAATGAATCAGAGCAAACTTCGAAATACTAGTTGTAGGTGTATTTCATGTGTTTATGCTGGAAAAAGCTTCAGAAGTTGTGGGTGGTTATTTTCATTAACCCGTTCCCACTTTTTGATGATCATCATTGATGACACCTTCTGAGGCTGACTGTTAGTTGCCTCTTAACACAAATAATCTTTATTGACCTTATCTTATCATGCTTACATGATTTTTTATGTAAAATGATTTTTATACCACGAATGTTACTAAGGGGTATAAATCCAGATTCCACGGATTTCCCGGAACCGATGCCAATATGTCCATATATCATCAGATACACTACGACCTGATTTCAGTGATCATAGCTCAATAAAATTATATTCCAACAAACCGTTCGCCGAAATTCACAGATCCGCGTTCCGAAACCGATGCCAAACTGGCCAAAATCATCTGAAATCATCTTCATTCACTTGATTCTACCTATTTGACATGATTTGACATGCCAAGAGATACTTTTGCCTGAGATATTACTATGCCATACAGAATCGATTTCCAGGACATCGGGTACCGATAATATCGTAGCCATACGTTATGGAAATATCTAAATTCAGTCTTACTAATCATATTTCATCTATCTAATATCATTTGCTGCACCAGACAACCAATTCGCGTGAAAATTTTAAACATTTGGTCAAACTGGTTAAAAAAGTACAAAAAACACAGACATATTTGCATCTTCCAAGAACGAGGAGGGTTCTAAGGGGGGCGGTACCTATGACAACAGTTAGTTCAACTATTCCCCTTGAATAAAAACCAAAGTTTATGAAAATCGGATGAGGCATTGCTGAGAACGAGTGTGGTGAAAAAAAAATCGTTCGTCCTGGTACTTTACGGATTAACTTGACTGGACTTGAAATCTGGAAATGCAATATATATTAACAGTCATAATACCATACCTGCAAAATGAGTATATGTGAACAAGCTCACTTCACGGCAAAGGGCTATTTTCAGGTTTGGTTTTATGACAGTAAAGATAATGTTATGTCAAAGTTATTAGCTGATGTTGAGTAATTGTAACAAAACAGTTCGTCCCAGAGCAAAATATATTATACCGTCATTGATGTTCATCAGCCATATTGCATCACTTTGAAACAATAAAACCAATGACGCACGTGATTCTCATCGGAAATTATTTGAGTTGCTCATCCCTCATCCATTCCCACAACGATATTCACAACAATTAATCCGAAGGGAAAAAGTATTATAGCATATTTATGAGAGCAAAACTCATTTGCATTGAATCGCTTACAGCACCACCCACCCTTATTGCACTTACCTGCTCAGTTCCGCCGAAACGTAGTTACTGTGCGGGCTGTACTTGATCGGAGCCTTGTACATGGCGCATACGAGCCGTTCGCGGCAATTTTCATCCGCCACGCCAAGCGAGTTGAATACCTTATCCAGCCGCTGCAGTATGGGACTGTAGAACTGATCGACGGGTCGCGGAGTGACGCCCTCCTGCACGAACGCCTGGTGATTGACAATCTGTTGCTGTTTGGCGATTAGCTTCTGCTCTTGAGCTATCCTGTAGGCTTCCTGCCGCTGAGCTTCACGGATCTGAAAGTTGAAGAAAAGATGTTCGATTGTGATTACACCGCACTATTAGATCTGAATCATTTCAAAGGAATTTGATAAATATACGAGCAAACAATTTCACCTTTGCCCGCACAAATGCCACCGCATCCATCATCCATCTATTGAATTTCGAAAATTAACCTTTTGTCAACCACAATAAACCCCCTCCTCTTTACTTCTTCTAAATTGCCGAGAGTGAATCATAATTCCGAGGGTTGGGTCAATAAACTTTACAGTCTGTTGTGCAGTGAGCTTTCATCCAAACGCAACAAGAAAATCATAACCAAAACAAAACACGCATTGATGATCAAAATCCAATATGTACCTACTAGGCATATGACACACTTTCCTTTCGAGCGATCGAACCATTAGGCCATACTTAGACGCTGCTGCTACCACGATCGTGCAGCTTCAACAAGGTGCGCATTGTATGAGGAAAGATCGAAGGAAGCTCCTGAGCATCTTCATTCATCTCGGCACATAACGATTTTTTGTCTGCTTATCTATTTTTCTCTGAAACATCCGTTCATGCCTTCGTGATCAAGTAGAGTGTTCGCACAGCTCTCTCTCTCTCTCTCTCTCTCTCTCTCTCTCTCTATGTGTGTTCGCTCCTACTCCACCTGAGATGGATTAACTGGCTATGCCTACCTTACCCATTGAGCATCATCTATAGCCATAAAGCTAACGCTAAATAAAATTAGCTAATGACCGCCGCCAAGGGTCTCCAACAGTAATGGGTTCTTTCACCATCGCGAGAAGTGAGCGATGATGGATGGGTCTCAACGACTGGAACCGACACCTTCCGTCAATATGTAGGTAGTGGTTGCGGATATAGCACCGTGAGTCGTCGGCCGACAACATTGTGATCAATCTTGATTAGGGTTTCACTTTCTTCCGTGCACATAATGAGTGATGCAAAAACGGAGAAAAAGTCCAAGGTCAGGCCTTTTTTTCTGCGGCATGCGGTTTCTCATCTTTCATCAGGTGAAGGTTAGGCTTGAATGGAAATTGTAGTTGTTGGGTTTTTGGGAATTTATGACAGGCAGTCGAGGTAGTGATTATAATTAATTCCCAATTGAATTTGTTATTTGAAATATTGTAAAAAGAGTTCTTGGTCAAACTTAATCGCTTCGTCCCGGCTATGCGTTGATTTCAGTAGAGCAGAATTCTTCGGTACTATGAGGAGAATCCAAAGGGAAAACAGAAATAACATTTAAATGACAATTCCAGGGGGATTGTGAAAGAGCTCCAAAATAAGATTTAAACAAGAACTCATAAGCATTGCAAGGGAATCTGATTCTGAAGATTGGATTTTTAGGAAGAATAAAACATTTTGACAGCATAGTAAAGGAACGCTGAGGAGAATTTCAAGAGAACAGTAGTTTATATCTGGATATTTGATGAAAAATTTAACTTGGTCATCGCTAAAAATGTAGATTTCGCTGTTTGAAATAATAGCTACATTCATGAAAGACATTAAAAAAAAAATCAATTTTTCAGAACATTTTCCAATAATTTGTTCCAAAGGATTGCAGTTTGAACACCCAAAGACAATGTTCTGTGTTTATCTCTATCGAGAAACTAGATTTCTTTTGCTCAGAAACTCAGAAGTATCGTAGGGCTTTTGATCTAATTTCCGTCCTACTAAGCACAACCCGCGCTTTACCTCTCTTTTCTGAACAAGTTTTAACAAAAAATTGAATATTCCTGTCAAAGATGACTTCTAAATTTATTCACCTTTCCATACGTACCGTTGGATTTAATAAAGAGTCACAAATTGTTGAGATATTGTTGAAAATCTAATACTGCTTCTTGATTCTAAATTCGTTCTACGAGTTTCAATTCCGTCTTAACGCATTGAAACGCCATTAGATTTTCTTCGTCCTACGGATAAACGTATAAAAAAGGGATTCGCTAGGGGAGCACTTCTTTTGTTTTGAGAACAATGAGCGTAAATATTCATACAATGCGCTCCAATAGGATGTATGTTGTAGCTTAGGGGCTGTTCATAAACTACGTAAACAGTTTATGGGGGGGGGTTGACAATTATCCACGGCCTATATAAATCTTAACATTTTTGTAGTCTACGCAGGAGGGGGGGGGGTCAAGAATTCCAAAAATCTGTCTACGTAGCCCCTTATTAACAAACGCATAGCAACAAATCTAGTATTGCTTTGTGCACGGTGAATTCATTGATATTATTGATCTGTTCTGATCGATAGAACGGAAATGGGTGATTACGACGAAGTAGCGCTCTACCCTATGCGCCCAAGTAACAATTTAACAGCCTTTTGGCTTTCACTCTGATTAACTGTGGTTTTATAACGGCAATAAGTAATATTTTTAGTTTAAATACAGTGTTTAAAAGTGCAAAACATTCAACTTTATGCTGTTTTAAAAACCGTTTAAAGCCTGACGAGAAAATCAGAAAGTGTCTGGTTTTAGAAATGAATTTAATGCAGCTCTCTATCTCTTTATAAAACTGTTCAGTAAACCAATTGGTATTTGTTTTATTTATTTCACGAGAAAATACTCCATAAAGGTGTTTTATCATTATAAAAGCAATTATTAATCCGTTCGGTTTCAAACGCGACCAAAAGCATGCGTTTTGGTGTCAATGAAGTGTATCACAAAACCTCCCACTGTTTACAAGTAAAACTAAAAAGATGGATCCACTTAAAGACAGTGAAAAACATAATCGAGTGGGACTTTTAAACGCAGATTCACAAGGAAATGTCATAGGATAATCGAGTAATAATTCTTGCAATGCTGTCGACAGAAGAGAAAAGGAATCCAACTCCAGAACTTTCTGGGAGGGCAGCTCCGACAAAATCGGTCAACAACAACAGAGCATCCTACTTAGAGGAGCGAAGTGAATGCGGTTTTCAAAGCACTGGAAGCTGTAAATTGATGGGAATACACAGCATATTGTCAATGGCAGCCTTCTCTAGAAATACCGTTGCGATGATGATCCTAATAGCATCAGTGCCAAACTGCGACTGCAGAAAGCTGCTGACAGGAAACTTCAGAAGCCGTCCGTCAGCTGGAAATTGGTTGCCTTCGGAACCAAAGCGACGATTTCATTCGGTGAAACGTCAACTGTTCCAAGCAAGGACACATAAACTTCATCGTATCATCCGAAAGAAGGAAAACTTTCCGGGAACGATTGAGCTTTCAACTGTTCCAAGTTACGTAGATACACTTTCTGAGTAACTGCTTCTAATTGATGAATTGCCCTTATCAAGGATGTCACGCAGCTTGTTGATCCAACGCTGGAGTATAATATTGTTGCAATGATCGCACGACAAAACTATCGAAAGATAAACAAATTTTGACGTTTTACTTTTTCCAGGCAACTTTGATATTATTAATGCCGTCATAAAACTAAACTGAATAAGATCAAGCAAAGTGGCTTCAGATAAAAACAATTTGCAAATTTTCTTCATAAAAGCCGCAATAATTTTTTTTTGCATTTGTTAGCGATTTCATAAAGGAAAACAGCTTTTTCACAAATGGCTTATGGAAAATTGTTGCCATATTGTTATTGTTCCATTTGCTTTTTTTTCAATCATCGTTTTTCAAGATGTTTTTCTTTTAAAATAACTTTATTCTCATGAATTCATCAATTAGCAGTAATATAAATTACAAAAATCATCAAATTTTCTCGGATGGGAGAAATGATTAACAGAACATATTACTTTATTTTGTTTCTTAAATTAAAAAAATAATTAGTAAAAAAATTAAAAAAAAAAATTAAAGGTTTGTGTCCTAGACACGACCGCAGTATGACGTAGAACCACACAAAATTGATTTTTTTCATGCATTTTTGACTATTATACTTTATCTTAAAATTTTCAAGTATTTCAAAGTTTCGGTTATGGTTGACTCAAAACAATTTACACATTTTTCTTGACAAATATCCATGTGAAATTCCACATGATTTTCATTTGACCACACATAAACAGAATCCACTCAGAAGTGGAGGGGTTAGGAAGGGGTGTTGATGAGTGGGGGGGGGGGGGGGGTTAGGAGAGGTTGTTGAGGGGTGGGGAGATTGTTGTGAAGGGGGAGAGAGAGAGGTTATTGTGAAAGGGGGAGGGGGTTTACATCATTACTTTTCCTCATTGTGGTCACGCCGTGATCCACCTTTAGCCGCTGATTTCGTCCTGCTTACTGCATGACCAAGTGCCACGCCGTCCGAAGCGACAATGAGCAAAAGTATGACAGCAGCGCTGTTTTATATCTTTTCAGGTTCAGAACCTGATAGGATTTCCCGCCGTTTTTTATGAATGGGGTGGAGCAAAAAGTTTCTTTTGTGCAGAATATGTAAAAAAGGATGGACTTTGGATGTCAATATAATTGCATATACAGAGGTACCAGATATGTTTTACAGTCAGTTGTTGGTAATTCATCGAGTGTATGTCTCCTATTAAGCAATGTTTTTTGAAAATGTTGGCTCCGCATGTAAAACATTAATTGTTTATACATTATTAGGGTTTGCTTAACATTTATTTCCCGAAAAAAAAATGATCGTCAAAGTCCATGTCTTTTTCGGGTTATTGTTAAGGGGGAGGGGGTGGGGGTTGTTAAGCGGGAGGGGGTTTTACATGCACGTTTTTTCAAGTCTCATCCCTCATTGTGGTGGACACGCCGTGATCCACCTTTAGCCGCTGACCTAGTCCTGCTTGATGCAGGACCTAGTACCACGCCGTCCGAAGCGGTAATGAGCATAGGCATGAGAGCAGCGCTCATTTATATCTTTTCAGGTTCAAGCAGAATGATGTGCAACCAAGTGGTATTCGTTTGTGATGACTGGGTTTGGGAAAAAGGCTTATTTAATGAAATCAGTGATAAAATTATCATTTGTACATTTTCAATAGTTTAATTACAGAAAAATTGGAAAAATATTTATTTCAACAGGTTTGTAATGTAATATCCTATCGATTGGCGTATTTGGATTTTAATTTCATCTATAAATGACA